AAAAAAAAATAAAAAAAAATTAGCCCCTTCCTGACTTCAACTTCTTTTTTTGTTTTAGTAAGAGTTTTACGGCACTTGCAGCACAGTAAGGTCATATAAGTGCAGAAGAATAGATGTGTTACCAGAGAGTAACGTACACAAAAAAGGAGGGATAAGGACGATAGATGTTTGATAGGAAAGAAGGAGCAAACCACAACAGAGCACCCGCCAACCACCCACTGTCCTGACTTTAACTTTAAAATCTCAAGTGTGCTCAAGCTTGGCTTACCCAGATCGAGGCTCAGGTTCATTTTCCCTGTTGGCCGCCCGAAGCCGATTATTTTTGTTCTGTCCTGAACCCGATTCGGTACAAACAGTGCACGTCTAGAATCTACAATGTTCAGCGTATCGCCAAAATATTTATACCGGGCGAAACTGCTTTGTCACCCACCTTTTCCTTTCCCACACCCAACTACCCACGCAGACACACACGTGCACCCACACAAATGCTAGTACATGTAACAAGCTTCCTGCTCCGGCATACCTGGTCAGAAATTGACTCACAAACTTGAACAACCCGTGCTGGTAGTTGGTTTCAGTATCAGGCAGGTACCAAGAGGTTCGAGTTCGAATTCTACTTTTAGTTTTAATAAGGGTTTTACGGCACTTGTTGTAGCACAATAAGGTCATATAAGTGCCGAAGATTAGAGGTGTTACAAGAGAGTAACACACAAAATGAGGAGAGATAAGGACGATAGACGTTTGATAGGAAAGAAAAAGCAAACCCCACCAAAGCACCCGTCAACCACCCACAATTTTACTTTAGTGTGGTCTGAATTTACCTCACTTTTAATATAACATAATTGATATGTTGTTGTAAAGCGCATTAGCATGTTGCAGAGCGTGGGTATGCGCTATATCATAAGGATGTAGTTATTATTATTATCATTTCTTTTTGGCAGTTTCCTGCTGTAGCTCCAAGCTCAAATTACTCAAAATGACTTTATACTTATGTCTAATGAGGCGTCAAATCTAATCAAAGGCAAAGTCAATGACAACAAGTGAATACTTTAGACAATGATATAGACAAAAGGGAGATTTAAAGGTAAATTACGTAGCCACTGTGCAAGACTTCAGGATGCGTGATCACGCGAGTACTGACATGACACCCAGTTTTAATAGTTATGGACACACACACTAGAGAAATAGATCGACCCCTTTATTGACATACTCCTCCCCCTCCCCCCTCCCTTTTTTTTTGTTTAATCCCCTCACAAAAAGCATCAAAAGAAATGTTTTCCGGGTTTTTTGTTTGTTCCTTGATATCATTATCCCCCCCC